GAGCCTTGCCTGGCCGCGACTTGACCGAGCCACGCGCGCGGAAGAAGGTGCGCTGGCGGGGTCTCGTAGGCGACGAGGCCGGCCACGATCTGCAGGCAAACCAGGCAGAGCGCGGCGTCGTCGCCGGCCAGGCCCAGGTGCCACATGACGTCCACGACCAGTCGCAGGCCGCCACTGTCGACAGCGATGATTTCGATCAGGCGCGCGTGGGCCGACGCGTTGGCCAAGGCGACGAGGCGCGCGAGAAGCCGTACGGCGCGCTCCACCGAGCCCACCTCGCGGCGCTGCACCAGGTTCTTCAGGTCCAGCGAAGCGCTCGCCTTGGCCTTGGAGCCGCTGCCGTCGTCGGCTCGGAGGCGCGTGAAGCTCTCGGCCAAGCAGACCATCACGTTCTTGGTCAACTCCTCCACGTCTGTGCGCGCGCCACAGTAGTCAGCACTGTCCAATTAAAATTGATATTAAAAGAATAATAATAATAGAAAGGCGCAGGCACCGGCTGGCGAGAGATTGCAGAGATCGGCGGACAGAACGTGGTGGGCGAGCTGGGTGGGTCCGTCGCACACGAGCCGGCCTTGCCTGCGGAAGTAGTCGAGGTGCGCCCGCTGGAAGAGGTGCAGCTCAGAGGCCAGGCGCTGGGGCAGGCACGTGGCCCGGCCCACGGGACGAAAAGCGGGCGGGTCATACACGCGCAGGAAGTGCTCGAGGAGCTGACGGCCGACCGCGGCCTTGTACTGGAAGTGCTGGTAGCGCTCCGTCTTGTCGGCGAATCGGGGCTTGCGGGGCACCTCAGTCATTTTGCGCTGGTGCCAGTCAATGCGGTGCTTGCCGCCGTATCTGGCGTAGGTCTGCGCGGCGAGGAATCCCTGCAGGGCGATAGACCCAACAACAGGAGTGAGTGCTCGATTTGTGCAGAAAACGTGCGGTACGTCGTACCTCGAATTGCGAGTCGTCATAGAGGTTGACCGAGGGCGCTAGACTCCTATTCAGCACCCGGACCGCCTCATCGACCAAGTCGTCGTCGCCTACCCGCCGACAAGGCCGCGCGCCCAAATGAACGGCAGACGATGAGATGTTGTTAGCTTTGTTAGCGAGGGGGGCAGGGGGGGAGGAGTTGAACAGCTCCGGTCATACCATCACGCACACCCTTGGCGAGCGCTTGGCACACGCCGGAGGTTTTTCGAGGCGTCGCGCGGGGATTAAGCCTGTGCGTGTTTGGCGAGAGAAGCTGGAGAGTGGGTCACGGGATCAGATACAGGTACAGCGTGCAATGTTGAAAAGCTGAATGGAGGCTCTGCCAGCGGGTACCCTTTCATTGATGCCCTTGGTGTCGACCACCACGCGCAAATGTCTTGATAGCATCCGGATGTGGCCCCTGCGCCTGTGGGGGGGGGGGCAAATTGCATCATTTCGGGCCAAGTGCGAGGGTGGGAAACAGTGCGAGCTTGGCAATACCAGAGACCGGAACGGGGCAGCGTGTACGATAGATTGGCATACTCCAACCGCGGAGCAGCTGCGTTGGGTCCAATCACCACCACCACCACCACCACCACCACCACCACCACCACCACCAAACAGTGTCGTGTGAGCATTGTAAGTGGCGGAAAACAACGAGCGGCGTTGGGTGGAAAGAAGTCTAGTATACCAAGCACTTCATGGTGACTGCACTCGTTGCCCGAAAAGATGCCAGACAGATCGAGGTAGCGCAGGTGCTTCATTCCTGGGCAATGAAACGACGAGTGAACTACAAGACAGACGGTGATCACTGTGAGGCAGCGTGGGTGTATTCACATACCGATGATGTGACGAAAGCTGGCCCCGGTGACCCGCGTGGCGTGCAGGTTGAGGTGGGTCAGGCGCAGAACTTGCGTCCAGCGCAAGAAGGCCGGGTCATCGAGGTCTGTGCAAGCCGCATTGATTGCCACCAGGGAAGCCAGCTCTGAGGCGGACAAGGCTCAACGTCATTACCACCATCAATCACGAGACACTAAGGTTCCGGGGACGTGTGGGCTCGTTGGCGCACCGGAGACTGTGATGAGTGCAGCCGGAGTGAACTTGGTTCTGGCGATGTCGAGCACCCGGAGCCTGGTCAGCACACCTGAGCGGGAACGTGAACCGAATGAGAACTCCGCGTGAGGGAACGGGACACTCCCCTCCCCGTGTCATGTTGAAGAAGACCGTACCTTTCTTCTGGGTGAGCGCAAGCAGGCCTGCGTCGGTGGCCATCGTACACTCGGCAATCGACAGCTCCTCAAGCGATCGGATCGCTGTAATGGTAGCGAGATCACTCACATCAGCGACGGTACCAGCAATAGAGGCTGGCGGCACTGAGAAGAAGAGGTGCAGCAAAAAGGAGGATACGGGCACGGTGGATTCCCGGGTGGTCGCCCACCCCAGTACTAACACCGCCTGGCGCAGCTTAACTTCGCTGTTCGGATGGGAAGCGGTGCTTTCTCCGCAGTATGGCCGTATCCGACGGCCAAAAAGCTCACATAAGATACCGTACCCAGGTGTGTCATGCCCTGGTCACAGAGCGAGGACCTGGACAGGTCGAGGCTCCTCAGTTGCGGCATGCCTACTCGTCTCATGAAAGTCAACGACACCAACACGATGATGACGATGATGACCACGACGACGACGATTATGATGGTGATGGTACGTACTACGCAGACAGCGCAGGTCGTTGGGTTTGATGAAGACGTGCAGCGACAACGAGCGCAACTGGTGGAAGGGCGCCAGCAGACCCTGCATGCCCTGGGGTCTCGGGTGTATCGCGCTCACGCGTAGGGACCTCAGTCCCACGTGGGCGGTGCCGGCGCGCTGCTGTTCTTCCTTCTCGTACTGGCCCAGCAGCTCGAGCGCGTCCCTGTGCAGTCCTCTCGCTCCTGTGACCGGTCAACACAACTTGTTAGGTGTGTGCGGTGTGCAGTGTGTGTGCGGTGTCGTGTGTGCGTGTGTCGTACCACCGAGTGTTTTGTTGGCCGCGAGCAGGTGGAGATCAAACTTGCGTAGCAATGCGGCAGTGATGGGTACCATCACCGACACCTCTTCCCACATGCGCAGCTGAGATGGGCGAAGGGGGGAGCAAGCTGATGTCAGACCAAGCACTGTTGCCTGCCCCCCCCCCCGGGGG